TTCTAGTAATATTACGACTTTATTTTGACTACGACTTTATTCTCATAAAATTATTACTTTGTTCTCGTAAAATTACGACTTTATTCTCGTAAAATTATGACTTTATTCTCGTAAAATTACGACTTTATTCTCGTAAAATTACGACTTTATTCTCGTAAAATTACGACTTTATTCTCGTAAAATTATGACTTTATTCTCGTAAAATTAGGACTTTTTCTGGCTTTGACTTTATTCTCGAAGCGCCAGCATCTTTCTTTTTTTTTTCTTTTTTTATCTGAGCCTTATACTCCGTCGTACTGTTCTGAGTAAAAGTGGGGGGCAGACACAATAGGAGAGACTGTGAAACCTGAATGAAGTTTTATTTTAGTTTATTTCACGTTCATGGGTGTAACGCCTTTTTCTGTCCTGTACTGTGACACGCTTTTGTAACAAAATCCAAAAAATATTTTCAAAAACAAATCAATTCTATAACAATTGTAAAAAGTCTTTCCACAAACATCACATCATTTTTTGCGTAATTCTTTTAATTTAGACATTTTAACATGCCCTGCAGAGTGAGCTCTCCTGTCACCCTGCTGGATATTTATTTACTGGACATTTATTATAAATTTGCCATTTTAAAAAAATCTAATAAATTATGTAACATGTCTATATTGTTGGTTTAATAATTATGTAACTGTCCCATCTTAGCGAATATATTTTAACCATTGAGTTTTTCTCAGGAAATACAGGTGTCACACTGCAGGACATCACACTTGTGTTTTTCAGAAAAGATGGATTATTAAAAATAAACTGTATTATTAAATATAAGAAAATAATAATTATTAAATTAGTTCAGTATCTGCTACTGCTAACTGCTTATATCTGTTTTAGGTGTAATATTATAATAATGTATACATCCTTCCCTGTATGCCAGAAAAGTTTACAGTCACACCACAGGACATTTCAAAAAATACAAAGAAAATGAAACACAACTTCATTCCAAAACGATATGTAATTTATAGAATTCATATTTGTGCAGTTTAATTGAATTTTGAAAGAAAAAAAAATATTATTTAGAAAGTCATTTAAAGTGTTTATGTCGAAAATGGACATAGGGTCAAGCCTAAACCTGTCAGATCGAGAACTAAACCCGGATTACAGTCAAACCAAACGTCCACTAATGAAGGATCACTCATGTCCAATAGAAAAAAAAAAAGAAAAAAAAAAAAGTCCATTATTGTCTAGAGAAGGCTTCTCATGATTGTGAAATATCCGTGAGCGCTACTTAATCAAATCGGTAACTCTACTTACCGCTTGGACATTCTGCGAAGGCAAAAAGCGCCAGTGTACACACGAGCACAGAAAAAACATTTAGGTGAAGACGAACACTAAAAACTAAAATTAAAAAAGGAAAACAGCGTGTCCGCTAGTTTGATCTACACAAGCGTTTTACTCTCACTTTACTTTCACTTCTTATTAACCAGCAGGCGGCGCACAGGCCGTGACTGGACTATACAGGCTACACACGGTGCGCTGTTTGTGTTTCTAGGACACAACAGTCAAATCAACAGTAGAAAGCATGCAAAACATCGACCAGCGAAATAAACAAATTGTGCAAAGTGTCTATGCATT